GCTGAGTCCTGCAGTCAGCCTGTTATTACCAGGAAATCCTGACATCCAGCATCAAAGGGACTGGGGAGAAGCAGAGGGCAGACATCAAAAGGTGTCTGGCCAGCACCTCCGGCCCCTAGTTATTCCCTAGGTATTACTTGTTTTCAAACAGCCCCCTGGAGAGCCAAACCCCCATCAGAAAGCGCTCTGAGACAAAGCTTGTGATCAGAGACTGGTTCATTCTGTGTCTTTCCCCACCTGCCTGTGGCTCTAAGAACAAGGGCTCATGAAATGCCAAAAGAACAGACTCATGTTGTCTCAGACATCCAACTGTGACCAGCAGAGGGGTTCAGTTAGGAGTGAGAAGCACTCATTAGCACGTGAGCTGGCCCAGAGGTCTGTGCACTTCCGGGGTCTTAAAGAGATTGTCTTTCCGTTCAAGAACTGTGGAGGCCTCCACATATACTTCACTCATGTCCGCTGCCTACTTGGTTCTCACAGGTGAAAGGGAACTGGTCAGGATGAAATTCAATGAGTGGTAGACTCTGAAAGAGTCTGCTAACCACAGGGTGGACAGTCCAAACCCACCAGCTGCTCTGCAGTAGGAAGACAAGGCAGTCTGCTCCTGTAAAGACTGTGTCTCAGAAACTGTAGGAGCAGTTTCAGAAACTCTATCAGAATCAACTCAGAGGCAGTGGGTTTGGGGTAGACTTTGAGTACATTTATAATGCATTAAAAAATCCCGAGACAGGTACTTCTTCAAAAGCTCCCAATCCAGTGCTGCAGCCTGGGAGGTTGGTGAGAGTTTGAGTCCACAGGAAGTGGCTGAGGGACCTACCCAGCTCTCTCACAGAATCCATTTTCTGGTTCTCTGGGGTGGAGTGGCCCACTCCCAGCAGAGAACAGTTTACTCTTTGGTCTTTTATACAGATGACTGGACAACCTCTCAGGTGGTGCCCTCCTGGGGGTGGGCGGCCAGTCCCAGAGGAAAGAACCAAATCCACAGCCATCAAGTCCACTCCAATTCACAGTGACCCTACATCGGGTTTCCCCAACTGTCCATCTCTATGGGAGCAGAAAGCCTCGTCATTCTCCTGCAAAGCAGATGCTGGGTTTGAACTGGTGACCTCTCGGTTAGCAGTCGAGTGCTTTTCCCACAGCGCCACCACAGAAAGCTAAACACTGAAAGATGCCTGATCTCAGGTTGAGTCCACCTCAGGCTCCCACAGCTCACTGGAGGCGGCAGCGAGCGGGGGAGGGCCCTTACCGGCACAACCCCAGGGAGGCAGCACGCCTGGCCGAAGCTTATAGCCTTGACTTGAGGAACAGCAGCACCACGGTCCTGGATCGAGTAATTGGGCTCATACTCGTCTTCATTTTCAGCACCGTTCATGAGCGGCCTGTGCGTGTCTTCTTCACAAGGTTTCTCTGCTTCGACTCCTGGGAGACCTGGAATAAGACCAAGAGCCACCATTTCCAGATGGCCTACTGTGTGCATGGACAGCACTGGGCCAGCTCACAGAGACCATCACCTGCAAGTCCTGAGGGGAGCAAACAGGTAAGCGCTTAGCTGCTCACCTAAAGGCTGCAGGTTCGAGTCTACCTGGAGACGCCTCACAACAATGGCCTAGCAATCAGCCAAATACCCATTACTGAAAATACCCATCCCTGAGAACACCCATCCCTGAGAACCCCATGAAGCAGCTGTATACCCTGCACACATAGGGTCACTTCGGGTCAGAACTGACTAAAGGACAACTGGTGATGATTTGGAGGAGGGAGGGAATGTTATCATTTTCATTTCCATTTTACAGAAGAAGCTTTAGGCTTCGGAGGCCAAGGTCAATAGCTACGAGGCAACACACCCAGGGTGTTCATTTCCACTTAATCTAACGGCTTCCGAACAGCATGATTTCAGTACGGTACTCGCTCTGTGGATGCACACAGAAAACACAACCGTTTTATGTGCTTACACTGAAGTGTCTTTTATTAAGACTCTAAAGACATGCCTCTGTGGCGGGACTTGCCCTTTGTCTGTCTCTAACCATGGTTACATGTCAGAGCAAATGACTCCCAGGAAGGAAAAGAAACCTGCCTCAAGAGGTGAAATGAGAAAACATCCTCACTAATTCCCAGCCAGGGTCTCAATTATGAAACCGTGTGCCAGTGACCAGTTGTCTTGTCATCCGACCCCCACTGTACCAAACCTCCACAATGCCTATAGCCACACAGGGCCACCCAGCTCCCGGGCTCAGTTGCTGGGAGGAAAGAGACGTCGCTCCTTGGCCCCAGACACTGCTCTGCCCAGTGGTGAGAACAGGCCTCCTCACCGATTTCTTCTGGTGATACCAGGAGACCAAAGAAGATGACGACTCCACCGGCAAACTGCACAGACGCCGTCACCAGGAAGGCATACTGGAAGAGAGGGCAGAGACGTGGTAAAGCAGCTACTCTGCGAGCACAGGTGCCCGTCTCCCTGCCGCCAACCACCTAAGCTCCTAAAGGCAGAAGTTTCCACCAGCCTTGGGGCGAGCTCTACTCTAGAGAGGTGGTGTTGCTGGGGGCCGGTCCAGACAATTCTGACTCACAGCAACCCTGTGTGGCAGAGGACAACTGCCCCATAGGGTTTTCTTGGCTGTAATCTTTCTGAGAGCAGATTACCAGCTCTTTTCTCCCATGGGGTTGTCAGTCAGCGGTGGGCTCAAATACTGGACTTCTGCTGAGCACCCACACACTTAACCATTGTGTTACCTCAGCTTCTAAGAGCACATGCGTACCAACGAACCCACTGCTGGTCTGGTAGAATCCAACTCAGTGAGCCTACAGGACAGAGCAGAGCTGCCCCAAAGGGTTTCCAAGACTGTCTCCTTTACAGAAACATGCGGCTGGTGGCTTTGAACCACTAACCTTTGAGTAAGCAGCCAACTGCTTGATCACTGCACCACCAGGACTCCAGAGGTGCATGTTTGTGGATATTGTTTGGTGCAACTGAGTCATTTTCAACCCCCATAGCAAGACTATGTCCAACAGAACCAAACACTGCCCAGTCTTACACTATCCTCATACAACCATTCCACAAAGGGGCTTAATAAAATCTTACTGAAGACTGAATAAGCATTCAGTGAATACATTAATAAGCTACGGGAAAAGCTGAATACCTTCACGTGTGTTAAGAGCCCTTTCTACTTCCACGTCATGAACTATACATCCAAATACTCTGCCTTTCTCCCTGTGTGTGTGGGTTGGCTTTTTCCTTATCAATTTGTGGGCCGCTTTATACATTAAGGTTAGCCCTTAGGACTTTTCACACAAGCACTGCCCTACCCTGACACGCTCTAGGTCATTTTAGATAGACACAATGCTATTTTCTAGAACAAAAAAGGGAATCGACAAAATGTATTTGCACAAGACAAAGAGAAGACATACCTCATAGCCAAACTGAAGGACGGAAGAGGCTAGGACCGCTCCCAGGATGTTGCCCACAGATGCACAGGCACTCCAAAGACCAAAAATAACTCCCCGCCTGAGATGGGGACGGTGGGGGACAGAGGACAACAGTGTCAGAGGGGATCACCTCTGACTGTCAAGGCCAGAGCAATGAAGGTGCGCATTACAAAGAGCGTGCCTTCTACCTGAAGGTGTTTTAAAGTCAAAATGATAGAATATTTGGGTCTTGTCTAACTTGAAAAGTTTATAGTATACAGCCCGCTTTGGGAACAAGACGACAGTTCACAGACCGGGAGAAAGCACAAATGCATGCCCTTTTCTGATAAGACTCATCTTCAGAGTGGGAAGAATTCTCAAAACTCAGTAAGGGCAAAAAAAATTTTAAAAAACAGGCATGACTCTACAATCATCTCAAAAAAAGATTTTTTTAAAACGGACAAAAGGTACATGCATACGAAGTCAAACACAGCCTAGTAAATACTGGAAGGTTCTGGGGGGAAATGCCCCAACATCTGGCATTCGTCATCTGACTCTACTTTGGCCTCAGACACATCACGTGGGTAACTTTGGTCCCCAGTTTCCTTTATCATCAAGGTGAGAAGGTTGACCCAGGTTGGCGAGTCTCAAGAAGGAAGTGAAATGCACAACCCCCAGGAAGGTGCACAGAGAGACAGCCAGCAAGACTGACAAAAGGGTGCGTATGCTGAGGGAAACATCTTCCTCGGCACCACAGACTGGACCCAAGCCAAGTGAGGTGTCGGAGGGTCATCATCTCCCCACACTGATGGACTTGCCTGACTGTCAACGGTGGGGAGGAGACACGGACACTGCCTAAGGGGTTGAGCCCGAACTACGCCTAAACTCCCAGCAGTGACGTCAAAGAGAAGGGCGCGGCATACCCGGCTTTCCCGAACCAGTTGCCCATGACGGCGACCACACAGGGCCAGCCGGTGGACTGCAGCAGCCCATTGATGGTCCACAGGAAGCAGTAGAACCACTTGTTGTAAAAATGCAGCCACTCTGTGACGGTGCCAAACACAAACACCTGGGAGAGAAAGAACAGAGATGTGTTACATCCACACAGACAGAAGGGGCGCAGCAAACACCCAGACCCTAAGGGACCTGCTCTGGCTCTCAGGTGTGTCTGCCCCCAGAGCTCTACACAGTGCCTTCTCCTCTCCAAGTTCACATCTCATCTGCATTTCCATTTGCTCTCCCACAAACCTGTGCCCATGAAGGGGTTAAACGGTAACCTTCACGCTTGGGCTTGAAGAACGCCAACAACCGTCTCTACAACATCCCTTCTAGACAATCTCCCATGAGATGACAGCCTTACAGTCTTTGCACTGGAGGTTCTAATGACAATCCCAATTTCCCATGGAGACTAAGAGGGCTGACCATAATGATGTGTGGTCAGCCTTGTGCGGTTTCTGAACAAGAGCAGCATGCCACCCCTGTGGTGCAGTGAAGGACATGCAGGGCCCGGGCAGCCACAATTCTGCATTCTGTGATGTTTCCTAATCACAGCCTCTCTGCCTGTGGTTACGGTCCCACATGGGAGTAAGCTGGCCGGTGTGCTGAGGAGACAGATCAGGGCGGGCTGTCTCTGGAGTGACCTCCATGCTTCCGTCACAACTCTCAACTTGTTGGTCCTGTCAGGTGCCGTGTCAGAATGACCACACGTATACAACAGAGCAAAGCCCTGCCTGGTCCTGCGTCAGGCTCACGACGGTTATGATTAACCATGCTGCTGCTGCTGTTATGCCCAGAATTCGGGGTCCCCATAGACCACCCAAGGAGCCGACACCGATGCAAATACATAAGGGTTGTTTATTCAAGCTCAAGCCAGGTCTCTAACCGCATCCAACGCCGGGGATTAGGGAAAGAGCCCAGAACCTTTTGTCTGCAGGGTTTTTATAGAGTTTTCAAACAGCTCAGGTTTCTCAGCTTTACAATCTTTGGATTGGTTAACAATTGGCAAACTATGAGATGTTACAGTTTAATTGGTCAGGACTGGTGGTCTTTGTTCTTAGGCTAGGGTAAAGGAAAACATCTGGACTCTGGCCTTGAGCTGCCTGGCTATTTATTTATACATATATCATTTTCTTGGAGCTAGAGGACGTGCTAAAGCTTATATACGAAATGGATTCTTCTCTTTGGCCCTACACTGCTGCTATTGTAGCCAGCCATCTTGATGAAGGTCTTCTCTTTCACTGACACTGCACTTTACCAAGAATGACGTCCTTCTCCAGGGACTGGTCCCTCCCAACATGTCTACAGAATAAGAGACAGTCTCACCATTCTTGATTCTGGCTGTACTTCTCCCAAAACACATGTGTTTGCTCTTCTGGCAGTCCATGGGACTATCAATATTCTTCTCCGACACCATAACTCAAATGCATCAATTCTTCTACAATCTTCCTACTGTATTGTCCAGCTTTCACATGCATGTGAGGCGATTAACAATATCACGGCTTGGGTTAGCTGAACCCTTGATTCTCAGGCTGACGTCTTTGCCTTGGAACACTTTGCAGGAGCCTTGCCTCATGCAGTGCATTGTCGGACTCCCTGACTTTTGCTCCCATGAGTGCTGATCGTGGCTCCAAGCAAACAGTCTGTGACAACTTCAATCTTTTCTCTATTTATCAAGATGTTATTTACTAGGCCACCTGTAAGGATTTTTATTTTCTTTACATTGAGAGGCAATCCATATTGAAGGCTGTTGTCTTTGCAGTATTTCAAGTCCTCTTCACTTCCAGCAAGCAAGGTTGTATCATCTGCATGTCACAAGCTGTTAATGAAGTCTCCCTCCAATTCAGATATCACATTTTTTTCCATATAATCCTGCTTCTCAAATTACTTATTCAGTATACATATTGACTAGTACAACAAAAGGCTACAACCCTGGGGCACACCTTCCCAACTCTAAGCCATTCAGGATATCATTATTGTGTGTGAATGGCTGCCTCTTTGTCTACATGCAGGATCTCTGTTTTCTCATGAAGACAAGTAAGTGTACTGGAATACCCATTCTTCTTAATGCTACCCAAAGTTTGCCATGCTCTACACAGTAGAAAGGAGCTCTGGTAGCGTAGTGGTTACGAATCAGGCTGTGAACCGCAAGGTCAGCAGTTCGAAACTACCAGCTGCTCCACGGGAGAAAGATGAAGGTTTCTGCTCCCATAAAGATTTACAGCCTCGGAAACCCTGTACAGGGTCGCTGTGGGTCGGAACCGACTTGACGGCACCTAACAACAGTAAGAATACCACACAGGAGAAAGCCTTTCCATGATCAATAAAGCACAAGCAAACATCTTTGTATTCTCTGCTTTTAGTCAAGATCCATCTGATGTCAGCAATGAGATCCCTAATTCCACATCCTCTTCTGAATCTGGCTTAAATTTCTGGCAGATCCCTGTCATGTACTGCTGCAACCATTTTTGAATTATCTTCAGGCAAATTTTACTTGCATGTGGTATGAATGGTATTTTTCGATGATGTTCGCAATCTGATGGGCCACCTTTCTTTGGAATGAGAACACATGTGGATCTCTCCAATCGGTTGGCCAGGTAGCTGTCTTCCAAGTTTCTTGGCACAAATGAGTGAGCGCCTCGGTTTGTTGAAACATTTCAGTTTGTAGTCCATTTCAGTTTGGAGTCTTACTTTTTGTCAATACCTTCAGTGCAGCTTGGAATTCTTCTTTCAATAACATCGATTCTGGAGTGGTGCTGTGGGTTAATGCACCAGACTGCAAAGCCGTTTGAACTGCAAGGTCGGTGGTTCAAGCTCACCAGCTAAACACTATGCAGGGTCACTATGGGTCGGAACCGGCTCAATGGCACATCACAACAAAAACAACAACCTCTTGAAATAACTGTCGACTAATTCCCTTTGGTACAGTGACTCTGTGTATTACTTCTTCTTGCATCATTCAATAATTTCCCAGAGAACCCTTCAACATTGCAATTCGAGGCTGAAGTGTTTTTTTTCAGTTTTCCATTTTATCTTAAGGGAGCTGAAAGGAGAGAGACATGAGCAGAGAAAGGGGAACCCAACTACCACCAAGAGACAGGAATGGAGTGTGTCCTTGGGACCCGTGGTCCCTGCACTGGGAACCTCCTAGACCCAGGAGGCAGCTGGACCATGGAAGACGGCAAGAGACGGGGAGAAGCAGTAGCAGAGACACGGCGGCAGTAAACCCATGAGAACTGACGGGAGACGGCGCAGCGGGCTTTGCAAGCCACAGAATCAAAAAGAGGAATGCTTTCCAGCGGGTTTGCGAGCAGAGTGGAGCTAGGATAGCTGGCACATGAGGCGAGAGCTGAGGGTCTTTGGGCAGAAGGCTGGCCAGCTGAGTGGGGTGTGTCCAGGCACTACTCAGAGCTAAAGGAATTCTGCAGTAACTGTCAAGAGGCAAGGGTGAGGCGAGGCTGTCCTGACTGGAGGGACTGTGCCCTGAGCATTTCTAACCCTAACCGGAACTGGTCCCCTTCCCTAATTAACCCTGGAAACGTGCGTATGGCCTGTGAGTTGTGTGTGGCCGCTTTACCCAGTGGAGCAACCCTGGAAGGAATGGAGGGTGTCAGAATTGGTAAAAAGACGCGAGAGGAGCCCTGGACTTGCCCCTCGGGAAGTCAGAGGAGGTCACATGACGCCTCTGCACCATCATATTGTTGCTATTGTTATTAGGTGCCATCAGGTTACTTTCAACTCGCAGCAACCCTATATATGTCCAACGGAACCAAACACTGGCCGGTCCTGCAGAATCCTCACCGTTGATGTTGTTTTTGTTGTCGCCACTGCATCAGTCCTGCTCGGTGGAGTCTTCCTCTTTTTCACCGAGCCTGCACTTTACCAAGATGATGACCTTCTCCAGGGACTGGGCCCTGCTGAGAACAAGTCCACTATACGTGAGATGAAGTCTCACTATCCTAGCTTCTAAAGAGCATTCTGGCTGTATTTCTTCCAACAGACTTGTTGGTTCTTTGGGCAGTCCAGGGCACGTTTAATATTCTTTGCTAACACTTGAATTCAGAGCTATGAATACTTCTTCAGTCTTCATTCTATTCATCATCCAGCCTTCACAGTTTACAGCCATTATTCACAGCTGCGATTTAAGATCATTTACTCAAAACTCCAACTTCTTTATAAACTCACAGTAGCCCTTCCACACCTGTTACCACCAAACAGCAGAACAAGCAAACAAAATACACCTTTGTTACACTTGTAGGTACTGAAATTCTCTTACGGACACACTGAGTTTTTTAAAAGACAAACCACGGTTTGCAAATGCTTTCTATTTAAAGGAGAAGCACAGTCCTTACAATCATGGGCCCAATAAGGAAGCAAAAGCGTCTGGAAAATAACAAGGGAAGTAAGTATTACAGAAGTTCACTCCGGAGCCTCAGCTGACTCAGTCAAACTGCTGCTGGATGTGGACGTGGCTCACGAAGGTCCCGCTGAGGGGTGGGGGTGGAGGTTCTAGGCCCCCCCGCCCCCCACTGCTGGTCCTCAGAGGTCAGAGTAGGACACTTCTCCGGAGAGAGGAACTGCCACTCCCTCGGGGAAGCACCACCCAGACAGGCAAGGGAGGACCCCCAGGGAACTGTGACAGAAACACCACAAGGGGGTGGCATTGACAAACAGAAATTCACTCTCTCACAGTCTAGGAGTCCAGATTCAGCGTGCCAGCTCCAGGGGAAGGCTGTCTCTCTTAGCCGGTTCTGAAGACCTGTCTTGTCTCCTCTCAGCACCTGCAGACCAGCGTTCCTCGGAGACCTTCATGCATCTTAGCATCAATCTTCCCCTGGATCTAGGAGATTCACAGTGCAGGGACCCCGAGTCCAAAGAACACACTCCACTCCTGGATCTTCTTTCTAGACGGGAGTAGGTCCCTCTGGGCCCAGCTTGCCTGTTTAGTCTCTTTTACATCTCAAGAGATTGACTCAAAATACAGCCTACTCCTGTAGATTGCAGCCGGCATCAGTAACATCAGGCTGTTGTGGTTGTTAGGTGTCAGCAAGTCTGTACCGACTCATAGCAACCCTATGCATGACACAACAAAACACTGCCTGGTCCTGGGCCAACCTCACAATCGTTGCTACATTTGAGTGCATTGATGCTGCCACTTTGCCAATCCATCTTGTTGGTGGTCTTCCTCTTTTTCTCTGACCCTCCACCTTACCAAACATGATACCTTTTCCAGTGACTGGTCCCTCCTGACAGTATGTCCCAAATACGAGAGATGAAGTCTGGCCATCCTGGCCTCCAAGGAGCACTTTGGCTGCACTTCTTCCTACACAGATCTGTTGGTTCTTTTGGCAGCCCATGGCACTTTTAATATTCTCCTCCAACACCATGACTCAAAAGCATCAATTCTTCTACCATCTTCCTTATTCACTGTCCAGCTTTCGCATCCATATGAGGTTACTGAAAATACCATAGCTTGGGTCAGGCACCTTAGTCCTCAAGCTGACATCTTTGCTCTTCAACACTTTACAAAGGTCTTGTGCAGCAGATTTGCCTAATGCAACACATCGTTTGATTTCTTGACTGCTGCTTCCATGAGTGTTGATAGTTGTCAAAACGAAGTCTTTGAAAACTTCCATCTTTTCTCCATTGTTAAGGATGTTTATTGGCCCAGTGGTGAGGAGTTTTGGTTTCTTTACACTGAGGTACAAGGATTCTGACTCAAGTAGTCTGGCTCCGGAGTCCTGAGGCGGCACTGTAGGGTAAGCACTGAATTGCTAACCACAAGGTCAGTGGTTCAAACCTGTCAGCCATTCCTTGAAAACCCTATCCAGGGTCGCTATGAGTCAGAACCAACTCAAAGACACTTAGCAATTGTCTGACTCCAGAACCCCAGGCCGAAACCACTGTTCTGTCCAGTGTCAGATTTGTCTGCATGTTCCAGGAGCACAGCGGGCTTCAGGAACCCTGAAAACCACCGGGGCTGTACCTGCAGCACCGCACCCCAAACTCTGCTGCTGACCCCTCTGCAGGTACTCTATCTATACAAGTTAAGTTCGTTATGGTCTGAGAAGGGGACACCGTGTCTAACATGGGGAGCCATGCCTCACGAGGCATCTGTACTGTACGGCTATCTGTACTGTAAAATCAGGCATACTAGGCATCACGTGTACAAGATGAAAAGCCGCATTGCAAAACAAGGTGTCCCGCACACAGCATGAACAACATGGAGATGTACAGGACAGCACATACAATGAGGTGACCAGGACACAAGTGTGTACAACATGGAGAGCCACGCTGTACAACGAGGTGTACAAGATAGCGTGTACAAATTTAAGTGAAAAGCCTCACTGTGCCCAATGACACATATTGGACACAGTGTACTGAACACAGCAAATACAGCGTGAGGAGCCGCACTGTGTGTACAACATAGGCAGCTGGACTACACAACAAGGCTGACAGGACACGTCTCAGAGGGCGAAGGGTGTGGTGATGGTTCTGACTTCAGGTCATAAACCCAGCAAAACGGCGCCAACACCAGCAAGAGCTGGTGAGGGCTTCTGCGGCTACTAGGTGAACGAGTGTAAATTAAGTCAGTCAAACCTGCGGTCTAAGTCAGCTAACAGCATTTATCAAGCGACTACGCCCCATGCATTTTGCTAGAGCAGGCACCTCACATGCAGACGGATTAAAAATAACATACACAATGCTGTATGGGTCACAGTCAGTAACATTCTGAATTCAGTCCAACTTTAAAGACAGTAACTTCAGTACGTGGTTGCCGTACTGAGGGGCTGAGAAGGGGTGGCAGTTACACACTACCTTTGCTTGTTAAAATTCAGAACTAGGAAACAAATAGGGTGAGTTTGTGTACCTAATAGCTCAATTTTTTAAGGTAAAAAAGTATGCATGTATGTATCTGGAAACCCTATAAAGGGTTGCCATGGATCGGAACCAACTTGAAGTCACTTAACAACAGCAATGTGTTTTTAAATAGCATGCCTACCTGAGTGGCGAACACCTTGTGTATCAAGCACTTCAGCTGCCAAAATACAAGGAAAAAGGTTCTTCCCTGAGCTCAAGGGGCAACGAACGTGAGAGGAACTGGGAGTCTAAGTAAACGTCACATTATCATTAAATCACAAAACTTCCTCACCAGAGCCTGGTGGGCAGTAAAATGGGTGGACCGCTGGCCTTGCCTGTGTCCCGACGTCACCAGAGGAACACAAGCAGTCCTCCCCTTAGCCTGGGAGACGGAATGGCAATGCTCCTTTTCCAACTAGAGGCACAGACCGGGGCTGTAAGCTGGGAAAAGGCCCAAGTGGGGCTGACACCAGGTGGCCATGGGGAAGTCTGTACGCACACTAATAATCTGTCTCCGCTAGAGGAGTGGTGCAAACAGTGTAGCATTCAACTACAAGCCAAAGGGTTGGCAGTTCAAATACGCACAGAGGTGCCTCGGAAGACAGGCCTGGCGGTCTGCTTCTGAAAGCTTCTACTCTGCACACGGGGGGGGGTCATCAGAGATGGCACTGGGGACAGCACACTGGCCACGTCCTGCCCCGAGGGAATGCAGGGCTAGTGCAGACACGATGTATCATCCCTCGGTGATGAGCCGGCAGAGACAGGCTGCCTCGGGCCCAGGTGGTGCAGGACAAGCCGAGTTAGACACGATGGGGAGGCTCTCACGGCAGATGTGCAGCCAGAGCTGGGGCTGAGGAGATGGGCTGTGCCACACCAGTAGGTTCCGACTCCACTACAGGAAACAGAGCGCTCCCACAGAGGGGACTGGAACCGGACTGTGACACCAGGGATAAAAGAGCAAGGGAAGGGGGATGGAAGAATCATTGTTTGTATCCTATCACAGACACAGCAGGGGAATTACCTGGATTCTAAAATACTTGATTTAGGGAAAAAAAGAGCCTTTCTCACTTACCACTAGCGCAGACGAACACATGCCAAATGACAGGACATATCGCAGATTGAGCCGGTCCGCAATGATGCCGCTGATGAAGAGGCCCTGAAAAATAAAACATTTTTTTACAACTCTAAGTCACGGCAGTTCAGAAAAAGTTAGCAGGCATTCCCAGGTGAACAAGGCAAAGGCGGGCCAGAGAGTATTTCTAACTGTGTCTAAGCCTCAAGCCTGGACTGGTCATCTTGGTCAGCTCAGTAAAAGCCTCATGAAAGGTCCATGAGATTCTGCACAAGATACTGAACATCACAGTACCGCAAATGGCAACAGCACACGCCACACACACTTTGCCCACCAGCGCATCATAATTCTGGGCCTGCTTGGGTTGTATTGATCCCAGCTGCTTAAAGGAGACTAGGAATACTGCAGGTATGAAAGTCTCAAATAAAACCAGGGCATTACGCTTCATTTTCTAGAGTCAGTTCCCTCCTAGCATCCGTTTAAAAGTGTCTCCCAAAGGGGCATCTTTCACCACTGCATATGAATTAAGATGCACATTCAGTTAGGGCCCTGTGAAAAGCAGAGAGCAGAGAAGATGCTGGGTGGGCATGCCAGCTGGGCTCCACTAAGAGGGGATAACAGGGCGTCAGGACTGGCGCAAATGTTCTGCCTTCTTCTGCTCTCTTCAACTACAATGCTGAGATCCTTGTAGGAAGGGAGGCTAAGACCTGAAGGGCAATAAACTTTAAGTTCTTCCAGAAAGTTGCAAAACGAGAACCATGTTTATTGGCATATCACGTGCCCACATAATTAACATGCACAACCCGACTGGAGACGAATGCCAAAGGGGGTGTTGCAATTTTAACAAAAGGCAACAACTGCATAGGACAAGTCATTTGCGTAAAAAGGCAGTAAAGGTCAGAACTGAAAACGGAAGTGCAGATGGGCCAAGTGTTCCCAGTAAACCGACCGCACACACGAGGGACGCATCACCCTAATCACCGCCACGCTGGACCCCCTCCAACGGGACAAAACTCAAAAGCAGATGCTATGTTCTGGATAGCTGCCACTCACAATGTCTTATACTTTCTGTGATACAAGGGATGAAGAGATCCTGTTTCAGATGAGGGAATAAACTTATTTGGCATTACTCCAGAAAGGAAAACGTCTCGAAGTTTCAGAAGGAAAATTCAGCTCAGCTACCAAGAATAGTGATCAATGATTGTTGTAGTACTTGTCATAGCTCTTCCACTGAGGACACTAAGCCTCACACAAAGTGAGGTACCAGTCCCCACGCAAAACAGCTGCAAACCAGGGCTCTTCCCATCAGTTTGTATGGCCTTCAGACACTCTGAGAGGAGAGCAGCGGCTCACAGACAAGCAAGTACCTGACGCTGGAGAGGCCCAGCCAAAACTCAACTAGTGGGTGTTAGGATCTTGTTCAGAAAATGCTCCGGACGGACACCTCTTCCAACTGTTTCTATAAGTCTCTGAAAAAAGGTAGCTCATAATTTCCCAAATTACTATTTAGAAAGCACTTTAGGACTTGCTCTGGTATTTCCCATTACTGTGACGTTTACAATTAAAAAGCCTCTTAATAAATGAACATGTGTCAAGAAAGGTACAAAATAGGACTGCCCACAGCCCAGTTTAGCTGTGGCTGCCTTTGGCGCCATGGTTGTAACTCAGTAGCCCCACCAACCTTCCCCACAACCCAGCAGACTGAGGTGGCCCAGGCGGACAAAGACCTCCTCAGACGGAAGGGCATAGTCATCTTGGCATGGCTCCCAGGACCCAAGCCTCCAAGATTTCCTCTTCCCTCTCCACACGTCCAAGCCTGCTTCTTGTCCCTCATCTGCCTGGCTCTGAGTTGGGAAAGGCCCAGGGCCCAATCTATGGTCTTCCACCTGGAGCCAGCGCTCACCGTCTCTCGTAATCCTTATTCAATACAGGAAAAAGATGTTAATTCTCCTTTCCAAAAGCAGAGCTAAAATCTGACCACTTCTCCCACCTTGTTCCCTTCCATGCTGGGCCTGGCCACCATTCCTCGCCCACACCCTGCATGGTAAATGGAAAAAAGACGGAAGCTGTCAAAGACTTCATTGTACTTGGACCCACCATCTACACGCATGGAAACAGCAGTCAAGAACTCAAACGATGTATTGTATTAGACAAATCTGCTGCACAAGACCTCTTTAAAGTGTTCAAGAGCAAAGAAGTCAGTTTGAGGACTAAGGTGTGCCGGACCTAAGTCACGGTATTTTCAACAGCTTCAAATTTTCAATAGCTTTAATAGCATGTAAAAATTGGACAATGATTAAGACCACAGAAGAACTGATGCATTTGAGTTATGGTGTTGAGGAATATTAAAAGTATCAAGAACTGCTAGAAGAACAAACAAATCTGTGTTGGAAGACATCGAGCCAGAATTCTCCTTAGAAGCTCGAGTGTCAAGAGTTTGTCTCTCAGAAGTAAAAAAAAAAAAAAAAGGATTCTCATACAATTTGATGAACTTGACCTACACCTATGGAAGCAGTAGCTCAAAAGAAGGAACAAGTCCTTACAGCAAGAATCATTCCCACCCCCTCCACACACAGAGTAGACAGGGATGGGTAACTTGGACATTGGCTACCCAAAATGGGGGGCGGGGGGCTACAAAGGCAAGAAGTGACTGGCTTACAAGCTTTCAAGAGGGAACCTAGATCTAGAGGGCCTGGAGGAAGGTAGAATCTCCAGTGAGTAGTATTCAATCTGACTAGGCAGGGCTGATGCAATGAAATGCAGACGGGCCTCTTGTGATACAATAGTGAATAATTGTTATCAGGACTGACTGTGAGAGTTGGAAATGTAAAGGTAGACGTCTTATAGCAAGGAGGGGAGTGATTAACTTTTCAGTCTAGGAGTGGAGGTCCCTGGGACCATCAAGGGAGAAGAGCAGAGAGCGGGACCCTCCCCAGAGAAGCAGTGATGCCTGAAATGGAGCCAGAGATGATGACGTGGAACGATGGAGCAGCTGGAGACTTTAGATCCAGAGAGAGAGAGCAACTGTGTGCTGAAGACCTGGGGGGCACGGGAGAAGGATTGCATGGGGGGGATTGTAACCATTGCAATGAGACGATATACGATAGAGTGAATGTAAAACTAATGTTCTTCTACGTAAACTATCACATAATTCACAATAAAACATTTAAAAAAAAAAATCTGTCTCTCATACTTCAGAAACATTATCAGGAGGGAGACATCATGCTTGGTAAAGTGGAGAGTCAGCGACAAAGAGGACTGAGGTGGATTGGCACAGTGACAGCAGCAATAGGCTCACGCGTAACGATTGTGAGGTCGGTGCAGAACCGAGCAGTGTTTCTTTCGGTCGTGAACAGGGTCACTACGACTTGGAAGGGACTCAATGGTACCTAACAACAGCAGCCCTGTGGCAGCCTCACAGACTCCGTCTCACCAGGCAGCACGAGCTGCTGCTCTGTGCCAAACCTCCCATGGCTCCCACCCCACACAGTTAATTATAGCCAGTACCAAGCCGAGGCCACCAGGCATGGAGACCACAGTGGGCCGCCTACTTACTGACCACACCATTTCCACCCCCACCTTCAAATGACACCCCACCCACGGTGTCACCCTCTCTTTTTCTCTGCGTCTCAGTATCTCCGATCATGATCTGCTACCTCCCTATTCAGAGACTTTGTCCCTCTATCCCTGGATCAAAGTGTGAGAGAGGCAGGGAGCTGGTCCATGCTGACCACTGATGAATCTCAGTGACCAGAGAAGGACCTGTGTGGGGGACATACGTAAGACGTATTTGCTGAATGAATGAATCCATAAAATGTAAATTTCAGAAGCACCGAACTTGTCTTTAGTTAGCAAAATGCCTTATAAACTACCTAAGATTGAGAGTTCTTTCCTTTCGCTTTTCTCCTTAACTTAAAATTCTAGAATCTGACAACTCACCACAGCATAAGAGAAGAGGAAAATGGTGTCCAGGGTGCCCAGGAAGAGTGTAGCACCCTCCGCACTGGGGAACAGGTGGCTGCTATTCCAGATCTGCAGGGACACAGTGGCAACAGGTTAAGACAGCCAGCACCTCGCAGAGCAGTCTCAGACAACCCTCCCAGAAACCTGGTGAGCTTAGAAAGAGCAAAGCAGTGCCATCTACGCAGTAGGCACACCACACTACACAGGAGACACAGCACAGAGAGTAAGTGTCCAAGAGGACAGCTCAGCGTGTGCAGAACTGGGTGGGAGCTGGAGGAGCAGACAGTAAGCAGTAAGATACTGTGTTGTTCTTGTTAGGTGCCGTCAAGTTGGTTCCAACCCATAGTGACCCCACGGACAACAGTACAAAGGACTGCCCAGTCCAGCACCATCCTCATAATCGTTCCATTTGAGCCGACTGGGGCAGCCATTGTGGCAACGCATTTCATTGAGGGTCTTCCTCTTTCTCGCTTACCCTCTACTTTACCAAGCACCTAGCCCTCTTTAAGGTCTGTCCAGAATCCGTGCAATGAAGTCTGGCCACCTTTGCTTCTAGGGAGCATTCTGGCTGTACTTCCCCCAAGATAGATTTGTTCATTCTTCCTGCAGCTCATGTTATAATGAATGAATACTTGCCACCAACACCATTCTCCTTCAGTCTTCTTATTTTCTGTCCAGCTTCTGCATGCGTGTCAGGCAATGGAAAAGACCACGGCTTGGGTTAGGTGCGCTTTTAGTCCACAAAGTGACAGACATCTTTGTTCTTTAACATTTTAGAGACCTTTTGTGGCAGATTTTGTGGCAATCCACTGTTTGATTTCTTGGCTGTGGTTGCTATGATTGTGGATCCAAGCAAAATGAAATCCCTGACAACTTCAGTATTTTTTCCATTTATCATGATGTTGTTTATCGTTTTAGTTGTGAGGATTTTGTTTTCTTTATAGTGAAGTATCACCCATACTGAAGGCTGTAGTCACTGATCTTCATCAGTGCATCAAGTCCTCTGCACCTACAGTAAGTAAGCAGGAGTGTGTCGCTTGCATAGGGCAGTTGTTAATGAGTTTTTCTACAATCTTGATGCCACATCCTTCTTCATATAACCCAGTTTCTCGAATGATTTGCTCAGCATACAGACTGAATGAGTATGGAGTAGGACACAACGTAGACTCACACTTTTCCTGACTGTAAACCGTTCAGCGTTCCCTTGTTCTATTGGAATGACTGGCTATGTACAGGTTCTGCATGAATACAATTAAGTTCTAGAATTGCCATTCTTCACAAAATTATTCCTAATTTGCTATGACCCACACAGTCTCATGCTTTTGTACAGTCAATAAAACACAAGTAAACATCCTTCTGGTGTTCTTCACATTTAGCCAAGAACCCTGACATCAGTAACAACAGCCCTCTTTCCACAGCCTCTGGGGAACCTGGCATGTCTTGTTAATGTGCTACTGCGATTACTGTGATCTTTAGCAAAATTTTACTTGTGTGGGCTTGTTGTTTGTTGTTGTTAAGTGCCACTGAGTTGTGTGGGCTAGCTGAAAATATTTGATCATTTCTGCATTCTGTTGGGTCACCTTTCTTTGGAATGAGCACAGAGCTCTCCCAGTCAGCGGGCCAGGCAGCTATCTTCCATATTTCTTGGCATAATTGAGTATTTCCATTGTGGCACCCATTTGGTGATATATTTTCACTGGTATTCCGTCAATTTCTGGACTCTTACTTTCACCAACGCCTTCAGTGCAGCTTGGACTTCTTCCTTTAATACCACTGGTTTCTGTTTGTATACTACATCCTGAAAAGGTACGCGGCACAACAAACTGACAGGCGAGTGGCGATGTATTTAGACAGGGCATTGTAAAGGACAGCCATCAGAAAATGTAATATAAGGAACTGAGACAGATACTCCCTGACTCCAAGGAGCTTACTTAAGCAAAAAATAAACAAACAGAGCAATTAGAAAATACTTACATATGGGAGACATGAACACATGTAAACACACTGTGCAAGTTTTTGGAGAAGGGAAGAGTCAGCAGAGCTGCGTGAAAACTTGGCCCTTCATCCAGACACAAAGGGAATGCAGGACCAGGACAGTGGACAGAAGGGGAAAGGGCACACAAGAGTGAGGCAAACCACAAAGGCAGACATGAGCCGGTACTTGTGAAACTCAGCGGGACATTGAACCTCTCCGGGACTCTGGGAGAGATTGCGAAGCAATGGAAAGTGAGCCGCTGGACGGGGTGCGCGGGCCTGGGCCCCAGCAGGTTTGAAAAGCAGATGGAGAGTGTGGACTTTCAGCCAGAGCAAAGAGTGAGTCCCTTCTGTGTTCCCACACCGAGTCCTACTCACCTCCACAGGCAACTCAGCTGACTTGTTGAAAGCCGTCGGGGTCCACTGCTTAGAGATGCTGACTTTGACATTGCTGAACGTCTTCCTTGAAGCATGGAATAATGAGTAACTGCCAGACAGAAGAAACACAGATGAACGGGCAGCCAAGAGAAAGGCACCCACCAAAGTCACAAAGTCACAAACCTGTACCTGTTCAGTGTTTCCAACTGCACGATACTTTTAAAAGGTATGGGGAGGCTAGCTTGATAAGAGCTATCAACCGAGACAGTCTCTGTCAAACAACATGGAAAAAATAACTAGTCACCGTCATAACGAACCCAGCGTCACATTTAACTCTGGGAACAAGTAGACGGAGGAGAAACTGGTCCCAGCTCACTTGCAGTTGCTGCCATCCTGTCAAGAGAGTTGTCTCTATCAACCACTGACCACTCCAACGAGTCACTGTGTTTCTATTCGGTAGCTGGTTCCTGGAGTCCTTGACTTTTCCTCCGCCCCTGCCCCACAAATGACAAGTGACTCTCTTCTAAATCAAGAGTCCAAAGTTAGCTAGCAACTCTTATATAATGAGAGGAACTTTTTCCTAGTTTCTGCCTAAAACAAAATCATTATGACCATTTGCGGTTTCCTCAATAAAGATTAATAATAAAATCTCAGAAGATATCATCAAAGTCGTTGGCCCACAGACTCATACACACGGACTGACTGCCTAGAGGGGACTGCGAATCCTCTCCCGCCAGGGGACAGAGCTCACACAGCTGTCCCTGAGTGGCTCCAGCTCACAGGAGCACGGGGTGCTCCCTGTCCTCAGGCTCCTGCCTCTTGCTGTTCTGCCTCACAGTGAACCCTACACAGGGTTTCCGAGGAACGGCTGCTGGGTTTGAAGCAACCTTGCCGTGAGCAGTGCAGTGCTTACCCTACAGCGCCACATCAGGACTCCTGACAACTGGAGGGATTCTCAATATCAGCACCACTGACATTTTGGACCAAATCCTTGTCGTCAGAGCTGTGCTTCATAGGCTGGGTATTAGCATCCTGGTCTCGACCCAGTAAATGCCAGGAGCGTCTTTCCCCTCAAGTGACAAGCAAAAATGTCTCCAGGCTTGTCACATGTCCCCACAGGACAAGATATCCCTGGCTGAGAACCACAAAGGGTAGTCCCAAGAATAACTAGTCTGTCTCAGCGTGAGGCCAGCCTGTCAGTGCACCAAACACCTGCCACTCAATGTCACCTTCACAGGAAAAACACAAGACAACATTAAGAGGGTAGATGGGCCTAGAGGTGAACAATCCCACCAGGGAGGTACGCAGTCCCCAGAATCAACAACATACAAGATCTGAAGGGTGGCATTTGTCCGGGGAGAGGGCTCAGAAGTCAGGAAGGGACAGGAAAGGACAAACGGAAATGGGAGACACAGGAGGAAGTGGGAAGAATGCCGCCCCATCGTGGGGACTGCCATCAATGTCATAAAACAAAACGCGCACGACTTGAGTGGAAAACCTTTTTGCTCTGCAGACTTTCCCCAGATCACAATAAAATGTTCAAACCCCCGTCACCTTAGGAAGGTAAGCAGGAACACAACGACATGATGGTGGCTAAAGCGGGACATGAGTGTTCCTCTCTGGAAGTTGTCTGGCCAGGCCATGCTCTTCTGACCTTCCCTCTCAGCTGTGATGTCTCCGTCTGGAGAGACTGCTTTACATCATTTCTTCTTTCTGCACAGACAAAACACACCACAGCATTGCTCACAACAGACAGATGATCCCAAAACAAAATCATGAGACAGATTTTAAGTAAAACCAACCAGTCTTGGGAAAAGCTTCATTGGGCTAATCAACACCAGAAAACTGCATGGATAATTATGTGGCATAGCTCTTGTTGCATTGTTAGTGACCCTAAGTTAATTCAGACTCACGGAGACCCCCATGTGTGCTGACTAGAACTGTGCTCCGTACTTTTCAAGGCAGTTCCGCGCCCGTCTCTCCAGGCACCTCTGGGTGGGTCCGAACCACCAATTTCTCAGCTAGTTGTTGAGCACGTTACCAATTGCACCTTTACCACCCAAGGCCTGTTCCAACTATTGGCTAGTACTTAAAAAAAAAAATTTTCCTTAACAAAGATTAAGTTAGAATGTAGCACACTCATACACAAACGGAGGAGACAGTGCCAAGTTCTAAAGGAAGCGACAGAAATGCAGAGATGATACAAAAGAAATGAAATGGCCAGTCATCTTAGAAATGTTCCCATCTCATTAGTAATAGAAGAAATGTTCATTTAGAGCACGAAAATGCACACTTTACCAGCTTCTGCTAAGTACAGCGGAGTGTAACATCCACACGCTGCAGATAGAAGTGAGAATTGGTTCATCATCTTTGGAAGACACCCTGTCCCTGTCCCATTGGGCTCTGCTGTTCATCCTTAGGATACAGGAGGGGCATTCAGACCTACAAAGACAGTGCCCACAAAGCCTGCAAGGAGCCCGTGCCTCGTGCACCAGGGTCACCCTGGGAGGAAGGGGCAAGAAGCAAGGCCAAGACGTCTCTTCCCATCACTCTGCTCCCCTTTCACTAGAATGTTCCCTCTAAAAGCTGCACCAGGCTTTTAATAAAAACAAAACCCAAACCCACTGCCATCGACTCGATTCTCATGTGATACCTGCTTTGTACAAGGCCTTTTAAGCTGGTGGTGCTGTGGGATAAGCGCTGGACTGCTAGCTGCACAGACCACAGGAATCAGGCAAGGAGACAGAAAACACAGAGCTCTGCTCCCAGCCTGTGCTCACGGGCACTGTGATTCAGTGGATGGATTCAAATCCCAAAAGCTGAACGGCCATCCCCACAAGCTTGGGATAAGAGGCACAGTGATGGGCCCACTAGAGCTGCGCGCCCCAAACCAGTTTGATGCTTGGAGGGTCATCTGTAAAAAGGCTGTGCTCCTCTGAGAGCTGTGAGGCTAAAATCGATCCTGTGTGCAGGGCAATACGGTTATTATAGCAGCCTCTGACCCGGAGCCAAGTTCAACTTAAAATCATTCTCCCTGACAAATGTCAATAACACGGTGGGCCGAGTTAAACTGTAAAATTCCACCCATAAAATGTAAATCAACCTTCTGCCAACAATTCCAGGAAGCAGCAAAACGGAGTCCAGCGAGGACTGATGCCCAAGTGAACTCCACCCTAGAAAGTGAAACTCAAGCCATTCTCTACCACCCCAGCTCTTTAGCATGGACACATTCCCACCCCCAGACTCCGTACTGAGCACCTCCCGAGAGGGGATGGGATAGGAAACTCAATCACTTCTCAGGTAAAACAAGAATTACAAAAACATGCTCTAGCCCACTGGGATTTGAGTGTTTTTGCAAAAGCAGCTATGCTTTGGAATGCACGGTACATTACGAGTTCTAAGCCCTCCTTTGCCACGACATCCGGTGCTCAGCTACTATTACTGAATGTTTTAATCAAAGATTCTACACAAGAATCCTCATCAAAAGAGGGGAAAAGTAAAGCAGAATCTAAATTTCTCACTGGCTCTAGACTCTGGAGCCATAGAAAATGGATGAGCCCAATATAATCTTTAAACTTTAAACCAAAATGTGTATACATTTTAGAATGGAAAACTAATTTGCTCTGTAAATTTTCACACAAGCTACAATAAAAAAACAGAGTTTTGTTTTTTTTTTTTAAATAGGCAATAGAGGCAAATACTGTTAACTGGTGATGCATGGAGGGGACTGTAATCATTGTAATGAAACAAAATACAATAGGATGAGTGCAAAACCGAAGTTTCCCCATGTAAACTTGTAAACTATCCTCAATTTGCAATAGAAGATTTTTAAATAACTTTAAAAAAAAAAAGTTTTTAAAAAAGCAAAAACACCTTAAACCAAAAGTATTCCCTGAAATCTTTTAATAACCAAAACATTAGCTTAACTAAGCAAAAGCTGTCTGCCTGAAGTATTATGCTCTTTAAAGAACCATCTAGAGAGCTCAGTGGCTCTACAGGATAAGCACTAGACTTAGAGCCACATTGAAGTCAGTTCGAGACCTCCAGCCACTTCATGGGATTAAGATGAAGCTTTCTGCTCCTACAAAGATTTAAAAAGCCTTGGAAACCCTATAGAGTCATTATGAGTCGGCTCCAACTTGCTGGCACTTAACAATAACAACATCTACATGGGATCAAAGTGAATACATCTGGAAAGATAACACTGAAGTACGCAGGGCAGGTGATTCATGCTAATGGAGAACGAACAACTCAGAACAAGATAAATGGTTGCAGAACTTGAAGAACGTAATCAATGTCAACAACTGTACGTGTCGCACCAGCTGACACGGTGCATGATTTGAGTGGTATATTCTCAACGAGATCCAATTGAAATAAACAAGAAGAGCTTTCAAGGACTTGCAAGCTGTCTGAAGTCATCTGGGTTTCGTTTCTAAAGCCACTAGCTTTTTCCTTAACTCCAGTGATAAAGAGACAAGGCATGAAAACTTTCTGGGAAAAGAGAAACATTCACCTGCTGTTGGCAGAAAGCCACTTAAAATGAATGCTCTGAAAACGTCTGGCCTTACCTAATTACAGCCGTTAGTAATTACACCTTGCACTATAAGCCACACAGCACAGTAGCTCTGCCAAGTCTGAGTTCATCCAGCACATCCTACTTCCCAGAGCCCACTTTCTCCACTGCTCTAAATAAACAGAGACTTTAAAAAGTCTCTGCATTTTGCACATGTATGTAAATGCGTCACCATTAACATCCTTTATTTACAAGTTCCTGAATTCACAGGAGCTTGCCTGTTACTAGTTTCTCAATCAATGGATTGCACCTGACCCAGTCACCTCATATGCATATGAAACCTGGAGGATGACTAAGGAAGCCTAGAGTAGAATTGATGCATGTGAATGACGGTGTTGGTGAAGAACACTGGAAGGCCCTATGGACTGTCAGAAGAACAAATCAATCTGTGTTGAAGGAAGTAGAGCCAGAACGCTCCTTAGATATGAAGACGGTGATACAATTTGATGAACTTGACCTACACCTATGGATGCAGTAGCTCAAAAGAGGGAACAAATCTTTACAGCAAGGATCATTCATACCCCCTCCATACACAGAGTAGACAGGGATAGACAACTTAGACATTGGCTACTCAAAATGAGGGGCGGGAGGGGGGTGGTCCACAAAGACAAGAAGCAACTGGCTTACAAGCTTTCAAGTGGGAGCCTAGATACAGAGGGTGCGGAGGAAGGTAGAATCTCCACTGAGTATTATCCAATCTGTCTGGGTGGGGCTGATGAAAGGAGATAGGGATAGGACTCTTGTGGTACAACAGTGAATAACTGTTATCAGGACTGACTGTGAGGGTTAGAAATGTAAAGGTAGACATTTTGTAGCAAAAGGAGGGGAGTGATTGACTTTGCAGTCCAGGAGCGGAGGTCCCTGGAACCATCAAAGGAGAAGAGCGGAGTGTGGGACCCTAGCCAGAGAAACAGTGACGCCAGAGATAGAGGCAGAGACAATGTCGTAGAGAGATGGAGTGGCTGGGACTCTAGACCCAGAGAGGGAGAGGGGCTGTGTGCTGATGACCAGGGGGCAGGCTTGCAGGGTTGGTTGATGATGCATGGAGGGGATTGTAACCATGGCAATGAAACGATACAAGATAGGATGAATGTAAACCTAATGTTCTCCCATGTAAACTATCACAAAATTCACAACAAAACATTTAAAAGTAAAAAAGAAGTGAAGATGGTGACTTTATCTCACGTACTTGGGTCATGTTGTCAGGAGACACCGACCAGTCCCTGGAGAAGAACACTATGCTTGGTAAAGTTGTTATTGTTAAAAGTGCCGTCAAGTTGCTTCCAACCCATAATGACCCTGTATAGGGTTTCCAAGGAGCGGCTGGTGAGCTTCAACTGCCAACCTTGCAGTTCAAACCAACTTTGCAGACCAACACATTAACCCACAGTGCCACACCAGGACTCCGCTTGATAAAGTAAGTATTTGTGACTTACGAATGAGTCAGCTCCGACTCATAGTGACTCTGCATAGGGTTTAACAAGGGGCTGGAGGATTTGAACCATGGATCTTGTGATTAGCAGTCCAGTGCTTATCCTATATCACCATACCAGGACTCCGTAGTAAAGCAGAGAATCATCAAAAAAGAAGATGACTCTTAACAAGAGGGACTGACGCAGTGGCAGCAGCAATGGGCTCAAACACAGCGAAGTTTGTGATGACGTGCTTTGTTCTACTGTACCTGGGTTTCTATGAGTAGAAGCCCATTTGAATGCACCTAACAACATCAGTGGATACTGAACATACAACTAACAGGCAAGTAAAACAAGCAATGACTTTTTCAAAAAATTCCTGACCATCAAAAAGGGCTAGAAACCACCATGCCATGCTCTACTCTTCCAAACAAGTGCACAATCACGAACTCATCTGATTTCTTTGGATTCTCAAAGATCACACTCATAAAACTGGTCCTTTCCAGAATGAAATGCAACCGTGCAGTAAGTTCTAGAAGGTGGCCTAGAAGAAGGCAGTCTCCCTAGTACCCAACACTGCTCTGTGGTAGAAAACACTCCTAAACATCAACATCCAGAGAGCTATTTAGAGTCCATTCCAACACATACAATGTCCTCT